GTCCGGGCGCGTCCGGGGGGGGGGCGCCCAGCCGAGGGCGCCCGACACGGATGTTTTCTTGAGAAAAACAATATTGCCCACGAGAAGGAAAGCCGCCCGATGCATTTTTCTGTTTGTAATAACCCCATTAATCCGTTAGGCCGCTTCCGTTTTGTACCTCCTAATACTAAAGCGGAGCACCCAGGCATCTGGGAAGACGCCTGAGCAATCCTGGGTTCTAAGACCGAGAGCCAAGTTGGAAGGAAGATCTGCAGTGGCCAATTCCTTCCCAGGGAATAGTGACTCGGGTGTCCGAGCACCTCAAACCGCCCTAGGCCGCGGTGATCACCAGGCGCTGGTGTGGTTTTACTCGGAAGATGAGGAGGTCCAGCGTAAAATGCAGGACTGGCCACCAGCCGCCTGTGGGGCCTGTGACCGCCCCGGGGACCACAGAGGCTCACTGCTCCCTCGCCATCATGGAAGTGAATGAACGCGGAGAGAAGGAAACAAAAGCCAGGAGAGGAGAGAAGGAAATAAGGGGGAGAGGGGGAGGGAGGTCCCTGGGGCTCCTCGCTGCTCCCACGCCTCGTCCCATGGCTTCCGACTAACGCGCCTGCCGGGACGTTCTCTGGACGCGTAAACCTCCATGCCTGCTTCTCCCGAGCCATGAACGTGCCGGGAACGCCGATAACGAAGGACACTTACTCGGGCTAGCATTCACACCCCGTTAATTTCTGATTTTCTGTGCCAGCAGGAGACAGATGGGACTGAAGAATGAAATCCGTTTTGACCCAGAAATCTTCCTTTGGCTGCCGCTTTATCTGCCTCTTAATTTTCTAGGCGTGGACTTTTGAGCACTATGTGAAATGGTCCCTGAGGAGGCAGGGAAGCGTGGGGTCTTCCTGGTCATCTGCGGCTGCTCCGACCCACCGCTATCCAGCAAAGCCTCCGCGCTCCTCTGCATTCTTGGTCACACTGATGTCTCTTGAACTTATTTTTTCCAAAGCAAAATCCTTCTCTGAATTCGTCTGCTTCTTTGTTTTCCAGAGCTCTAGGAACGTTTCCTTGCTGGAGTTTCAGAAAGTCCCATGTTCTTTTTCTAAACTTTCTCGTGTATTTCCTGGTAAATTCTAGGTTATCCAGAGGTAAAAGTGACCAAGAATTTGAAAAGAGGAAAAAAATCAAGCAGGTTATTAATCTAAAAGCCAGTCCCTGAATTTAGTTCTTTATTTTTGAAGCAAAACAAGAGCGCGAGACAGCGCGGTCTAATGCTGGGGGTCTGCGGTTAACCATTGTCTGTCTGTTTGGTGCAGCACTCCCTAACTGTCACCCACCCCTCTAAGCGTCGTCATGGAGACAGCGTGTCAGTGGAAACCTCTGGGACACGAGGGCGGCTCTGGTTTTCCTCTAGTATGCGTGTTAGACCTTCTTTCCCACACACCCACCCTTACCCCACTTGGTAACCCTGACTCCCAATTTTCTCATGGAAGTGGCTGCCTGGGTTACAGGGGCTGGTCAGAGCCCAAGCACCGGGGAGGGAAAGGGAAGCGTGGACGGGGCTGGTGTGGCGAGCTGAGCCTAGACAGTGGCCCCGGGCCTGGGAGAGCCTGGAAGAGCCCCGGCCTCCTGAAACAGGGATGGTGGCTGCTTTGCAGGGTCCTGTCCGCCCTCCCTTACCCGTAGTTGCAGAGTGCAGGCTGACGCGAGGGCTCCTGGGGACCCACGGGGGACACTGGCTTTGTCGATGAGCATCTTTGTGGGAGGACGTTGGAGGATCCCCCCATGTCTTGCGGGCACGACAGAAAGCACAGGCGGGGTGCCTGTCCCATGGGGGCGCCTGTGAGGCTAAAGGGCCGCCCTGAGCCCTCACTGCCTGGGCGGCCTCCCTCAGCCGCCACCTTCCTCGGGTGCACTCCCCTAGGGCTTCTCTCTTTCCTTTTTCATATTTAGACAGACGCTCCTCTTGAAAATAAAGCACATTAGAAATTAACTGTCCTGGGACGCAAACGGGCTGGCAGGGTATTACCACTGTGCGCCCTCGCCCAGGAGGGGCCGTCTCCTCGTGGCTGAAGTGAGTAGGGCAGCAGGGCAGCTGTGGCCAGGTCAGGGCGCCCGCGGTCCCCACTTGCCAGCAAGCCAGAGGGAGGCGCTCTCAGACTCAGCTCCAGGTGCCTTTGTAAGGCCCCAAAGGCCCACAGCAGCCCACAAGGCGGGGACCGTCAGGATCCCCAGCTCACACAGCAAATGAGGCTCAGAGAGGTTCTGATACTTGTCCCAGGCCACACAGGGGGGCTCGGGGGCGGGAGGCGAGGCCCTGCCCTGCCAGCTGGCTTGCTCCTGCTGTCAGCAGCTGAGGGCTTCTGGTGAGGACCTCGGTCCCACTCAGCTCTGGGCCAGGCAGCTGAGCCCTGGTCGCCCTTGTGAGAGGCTCCTCCGGGCCAGAGTATGAGCACAGCATTCAGCCTCTTCACTTTGGGAAGCTCTGAGCCTCGAATCGATGTCATGAGTCCACGGCCCTCAATCCCCAGCTCCCCGGGACAGCAGAGCAGATGTGAGCAGAGTCCAGACTGGGCCAGATGTCTAGAAAGGGCCCCCGAGGACAAGATGGCACGTCCTCCAGGTTTCGGGACTGGGAGGCACCTTGGGGGTGAACTGGCCCCTGCCCGTGTCAGAGCACCCTGAGGGGTTTCTTCCGAACAAGCAGAGGCAGGAGGTCTGACCTGAGCTCCCCGGGGACCCCTAGCAGGAAGCCAGTGAGCAGCTGGCCCACGAAGGCCATGCTCTGTGGACTGGGAGCGTCTGGACCACGTATCCCGATGAGGCCAGCCCGAGCTAGGGCCCCGCTCCTCAAGGCTAGCACCCGAAGGCTTGTGGACCGGCTTCCTCCCCAGCCTCCCCTTCTCAGCTCAGTGCCAGCCTATGGCTCCCAAAGGACTTGCTGAGGCCACCCCGTGGGGGTCCTTCCCGGTGGTCCCCGGTGGCAGTGGCTATGGCATGGGGACTGAGCATTCCCTGGTCTTTCCTCACAGGGGGCCGAAGGGCAGAAACCAGGCTTTGGCTACGGAGGCAGAGCTTCGTCAGCTCACAGAGGATTCAAGGGGGCCCGCGACGCCCAGGGCACACTTTCCAAAATCTTCAAACTGGTAACGTAGCCTTGTCAGGGCGGGGCATGCTAGCGGGCCTCCACCGCGGGCGGTCCTGGGGCCACTATGCTGAGCTTGTGCTGCCCTGTCCAGCCTGGGCCGGGACTGATGGGGTGTCCAGGCCAAACTGCTCTCAGAACAGTGCCAGGATCACAGAGAGCCCTGGTGGAGAGATGCTTATCCCGGATGCTCTGCTCAGGCAGCGCCCGAGGGGTGACCACCTCCAGCTTGCAGCCCACAGCATGCCATGGGTGCCAGACGTCGGACGAGGGTGGCCCGACTGGGATTGGCTCAGAAGTGAATTTGGAGCAAGAGGCCTTTGGGGAGGGTCTCCAGGCTGGTTTGTCCCATGGCATGTGTGGAGGGCTGACTCGGAGCCCAGGGCCGAGCTGGCCGCTGAGCGAGGCAGGCTGGACACTGCTGACACTCCCAGACCTGTGAGCGCCCTGGCAGTGAGTGTGAACCAGGCAGACGGGGGAGGAAGGCTCTGGGGCCACGAGAGAGAGTGCCCGGAACCCACAGCAAGAAGAAGCCCGCCCTGGCCGGCAGACGCAGGGACAACCCAGCCCACTTGAGAGCTTGCAGACTCGGTCCCCATCTACCCAACGGGGTGATGGGCTGAGCCAGCGCACAGGCTTGTCGTGGAAGCACAGGGGTGGCGATGTGACATGACTGCTGGGGCTAGGAGCAGATGACACATGGAAATGACAGTGTCGCCGCTGCTGCTCACGTGTGTGCTGCACGCGCAGACACTAGCGTCCAAGGCGGGTGTTTGAACCAACTGTGGGGCCCTGCAGACCCTCAGGCTGTAGGGAAGGCAGGCGGTGTCTGAGAGCCCCCAAACGGGGCTTCTGGCCCCTTCCCAGAGTCTTGGGGATCCTCTCTTGGGGAGACAGGCTTTATTTTGGAGCTAGTCCCATGCTCTCCCTGGAAGGCACTCTGTCCCCCCTGGAAGGTACTCTGCCCCCCCTTCCTGGAAGGCACTCTGTCCCCCCTGGAAGGCACTGTCCCCCCCTCCCTGGAGGCACTCTGTCCGCCCCCCTCCCTGGAAAGCAGTCTGCCCCCCCACTCCCTGGAAGGCAGTCTGTCCTCGGTGCCAGCCTGGAAGCCCACATCCCAGAGCCGCCCACAGTCAGGGCACCCATGGGCCCAGCAGGCAGGGAAGGCCAGCCCCAGGTCGTCACGGTCGGTTTTCCCCTGGTGCGTGAGGGGCAGTGGCCGTGAACAGCACAGGGCCATGATCCAGGGCCAGAGGCTTCCTCGTGCCCCTGAGCCCATGGTTCTGCAACCACCGAGGGACCCAGCCTATGCCAGGCTCGGTGCAGCGGACGCTGAGCGCAGGGCACAGACAGGGCCACCTTGAACCGGGGGTGGGGGCAGGTGGGGGGAGTGAGGGAAATGAAAGGCAGGGAAAGGGCATGCGTGGAGACGGGGTGGCCAGGGGCCTCACTGAGCAGGTGGCACTTGGCAAAGATTTGAAGGATGGGGGGGCCAGCCACAGACACATGAAGCAGCGCTCCAAGCAGGAGGAAGAGAATGGGTCAAGGCCACCGTGGGTTAGGAGAGAGGGAGCTGGCCAGGCAGGCCGGGGGCAGGGCTCTGCGACCTTGCAGCTGCCTTGACCATGACCCCGAGTGGGGTGGGGCAGGGAGCCCCAGGAGGAAGGCTGGCTACCCTTTCCTATGGCAATGCAGTTCCGTCTCTGGCACAGACAGTGGTGAGTGGAGCTGGTGCTCGGGTGGGCGACAAGTGGCTTCTGTTTTTGTGTGGCTGCAGGGACAGGGAGTCGGCGGCTGAGCTGAGGTCCAGCCAAGCACCCACAGTTCGGGGTCTGAGAGGGCAGGGGCGCTGGCACAAAAGAACTTGCAGCTTTGCCCTCCCGCCGAACCCAGGGCTGGGTGAGGGCACTCCCGCAGCAGC